TCTACCACTTGAGCCACAGCACCACTTCTGGCTTTTTTCTTTTTGCTTATGTGGTGCTGAGGAATCGAACCCAGGGTCTCATGCATGCAAGGCAAGTGCTCTACCGCTGAGCCAACTTCCCAGCCCTTCTCTCTTGTTTTAAAGTAGCGTTCATTGCGTCACTGCCTTGTTCATAAAATGATATCATCTTTTTTGTTATTGTTGTTGGTTAGTTGTGTGGCCTGAACTCAGCCTGGGTGCTGTCCCTGAGCTCTTGAGCTCAAGGCTAGTGCTCTACCACTTGAGCCTTAGCACCACTTCTGGCTTGTTCTGCTTATGTGGTGCTGAGGAACCGAACCCAGGGCCTCATGCTTGCTAGCCAAGCACTTTACTACTGAGCCTTCCCAACCCATTCACGGAGCAGTGTTTGAATTGGAAGGAATTTGCAGATTATCTGATCTAAAGTCCTTATGTTCAAAACAAAAAAACTTAAGTAGCTTTGGGTCACTTAGATAAAGCAGATATGGCAAGGACTTATCACACAGCTAAACTGTAATGCATTGATAATCAGTTTATTTTTGCTTGTTTGTTTTTGCGGGGGTCCCGTTGTGGTGCCTGAACTCTGGGCCTGGGCACTGTCCCTCAGTTCTTCAGCTCAAGGATAACGCTCTACCACTTGAGCCACAGCACCACTTCTGGCTTTTTTCTTTTTGCTTATGTGGTGCTGAGGAATCGAACCTAGGGTCTCATGCATGCAAGGCAAGTGCTCTACCACTGAGCGACCTTCCCAGCCCTGGTAATCAGTTTTATACTTTGTTCTTCCTAATGGGCTTCATGGGTTCTTCTCAATAGAACTTGCTGCTAACTCCTGTCACTCAGTATTAATGTAAGATCTGAATCTTTGCTATTCTAGCCCATAATCACAAGAGCCATGAACACATAACCAGAGACACTAAATTAACAGCAGTTTTAAATGGTTATATTTGACAGAATGCCACATAAACAGAATACATAGGAAAGAGAAGAAAGGAAGGGCTTCCCAGCATTAAGCTGGGAATCAGGGTATAAGTAAGATTTAAATAGGCAAAGAGTAAGGAGGAGAATACGGAGTAAGGAGGAGAGGAAACCATATTAGCAAAGGGATAGGCTGCAGAACGAAGCATGTCAATTTGTTAAACTGGAAGAGATGCCTTAGGTTCAGAAGTAGTAGAAAAGATGTTATGATTCATTGGGGTCAGTATTAGATCTTAAGAGATAAAAATTAAGAAATAAATATTTTCCCAATGGATTAAAATCATGGAAATTTTTGTCTAGGAGGTAATTTGGCAAAGCCACGATTTTATAAAGAAGTAACTTATTGGTGACATTGAGGAAAAATTATTGGTGCATTATTAGTAAGTGATTCTGTTTCCAAGCTTCAGGAGGTAAAAGTTTATACTGATGAAAGTACTAGCGGGGAACAAATAGAAAATAGTGGAATAAGTGAAAAGAGTCCATGAGGCGAATGAGTAATTGTACCTTTGAACTAAATAAAACCAGTAGAATGAGCTAATTCAGAAGAAGGATGGTCCCTGTTTAATACATACAAGTTGGAGTAGCCCAGAAGAGTGGGGAGGGGGCATAGATATCTATAGTGTGTGTGTGTGTGTGTGTGTGTGTGTGTGTAGTTTTACAGGGAAAATGAAATACCTTTACCTTTTGTCTCCTTCAGCTATCTTGCTTTGCTGTAAGTATCAGGAACATCCGTGGTTTCACAGTTCAACTTGGCATCATACATCGTTCTTTTCCTTAACTCTTGGCCTTTTCAGTCTGATCATTTAGCAAATCAGTCTTTTTTTTTTTTAACTTTTTGACAAAATATTTTTGGTTTTGTTGCCCTTATATTTGTAGGTTATATTTCTAGCCTGTTGAGCTTTTCCTATTTTGTTTTTAAGAAAGTTAAATCTGGTATATGAAAGATCTCCACTGAGTATTTTACTTTGCTTTCAAAGGATGCAAGGAGTTGTCAGCCGACTCTCTAAGTTACTGAAGCCTGGGGGAATGCTGTTATTTCGGGACTATGGAAGATATGATAAGACTCAACTTCGCTTTAAAAAAGGTAATACTACATTGTGTTGAGGTTATTTTCATCTGTCTTGAACAATGCTTTGTTTATATTTCATGTCAAATTGTTTTGGTTTTTAAAGGAAATACCAAGTTCTCACTATTACTTTTTAGGGCATTGTTTATCTGAAAATTTTTATGTTCGAGGAGATGGTACCAGAGCGTATTTCTTCACAAAAGGTATGCCAATATATAAGTGTAAATAATTAGCCATGAAAATTCTTTTTGGTTATTATTTGCAGAAAAATTCAAAAGCTATAAAAGGAGGCTTCAGTCATTGATATAACATCAGATGTTTTATTACTTTGGTGCTTATAACTGTTCTACATAAAAGCTTGAAAATGGCCTTTTTTTTTCCTTTTCATCTCTTTTCATTAAAGCTGCTGTAGGAAGTGACTTGTTTCACCCTCACACTGAAGTAGAGGTGCTGAATGTAATTGGAGAGAGTGTTAGCCTGGATATGAAAACAACTGAATATGCCACAGCTAAAGGAGAAATTTTTTTAAAGCAATAAAAAAATCATTTGTCTAAGGACTGGAGATGTGGCTCAATAGGAGATTACTTGTCTTGCAAGCACAAGGTCCTGAGATTTTTTTTTTTTTTTTTTGGGTCCGGTCGTGGGGCCTGAACTCTGGGCCTGGGCGCAGTCCCTCAGCTCTACCACTAGTGCTCTACCACTTGAGCCACAGCACCACTTCTGGCTTTTTTTCTTTTTGCTTATGTGGTGCAAGGCAAGCGCTCTACCACTGAGCCACCTTCCCAGCCCTGAGATTTTTTTTTTAAACATTACTTATCTCTGGTCAATTTCTTATTAGAAAAAATATTTTTGACATTGCCAGATGAATCTTGTATTCAAGGATTTCACCAAACAATGTGAATACTCCTATAATATGCCATTTTGGATCACCGTAAACCAATGAATGCTCAGAAAGAAGGTACCTCTCAACGTATCAACAGCTGCAACCAATAGTTTTACCTACCTGTTATTGCCTGCCTGTGTTAGCCTGTTTATACGACTACATATTTGTGTGTGTGTGTGTGTGTGTGTGTGTGTGTGTGTGTGCACAAGCACACATGCAGGTCCTGGAGCTTGAATTCAGGGCCTGGATACTGTCCTTATATTTTTTTGTTCAAAGTGAGTGCACTACCACTTGAACCATAGCTCTACTTCTGGCTTTTTGCTAGTTAATTGGAGTCAAAAGTCTCATGGATTTTTCTGCTCAAGCTGGCTTTGAACCATGATTCCCAGACCTCAGCCTTCTCAGTACCTAGGATTACAGGTTACACAGTATATTTTTATGAAGTAAAGTAAAAAACAAAAATATTCTGCTTTTATAATGTTCCTTAACTTCTTTGTAATAGATAAGACAGCGCTCCTTGGTGTAAATGAAATTTAGACAGCCAGTCATGCCAGACGTGTTCAGTTGCTCATTACCTCCCTTCTATCTAGTCATGTCTCATCTTTGATTTCTATTTTTGTCTCAAAGGAGAAGTCCACCATATGTTCCACAAGGCTGGGTTATATGAAAAGCAAAACCTGGTTGATCATCGCTTACAAGTCAATAGAAAAAAACAAGTGAAAATGCACCGAGTATGGGTCCAAGGAAAATTCCAGAAACCATTGAAGTGGACTCAAAATTTTTCCAACCTGTAATTTTCATACCTCTCTTATGATTGAACTATGAGAGGACAATACTACTCAAAGACTTGTACAAATCTTTCATTTCTTTTTTTTCTTAATATATATTTTTCTTATAAAGATATTGTACAGAGGGGTTACAGTTACAAGAACAAGGTAGTGAGTCCATTTCCTATCGAGCATTGTTACACCTTCCTTTATTTTTCCCCTTCCGTCTCTTTCCTCCTTACCTCCCCAATTTCTCCCTCCCCTCCCCCACCCTGCCCCCCACAAGGTTGTAAAGTTTGTTTTCAACATACTGTCTTGTACATCTCATTGTTGCAATGGGCCATCCTGTATCCTTATTTCAGAATTTTGTTATTTCCCTTCCCCTCCCCAAATTGGAAAAATGTATATACAAGATCCAGGACACTGCAATACTGGAATCAATTACAGTGACAACAGGGTTGTACCATGAGGAAAGAATGTACAAAGAAACAAAAAAAATTCACATAGTACATTATACAAAGTACAGCAACAAAGATAAAACCTCTGTGTCCCTATCTTGGGGTTCATTTCGCTTAGCATCAGGTTATATGGTCATGTGTACATAGCTTTTGACCTCTTTTTTTGGTGGGGGGGGAGGGTCCAGTCCTGGGGCCTGAACTCTGGGCACTGTTCCTCAGCTCTTCAGCTCAAGGCTAGCACTGTACCATTTGAACCACAGAGCCACTTCCGGCTTTTTTTTTTCTTATATGGTGCTGAGAGAATTGAACCCAGGGCCTCATGCATGCAAGGCACGTGCTCTACCACTGAGCTACCTTCCCAGCCCAGACATCTTCTGCTTGTCCTAGACATATACTAGTTATTGCAGATAAGGGAAACCATGGGGCCTATGTTTCTTTAAGTCTGGCTTACTTTACTAATATAATTTTTTCCAAGTCTTTCCATTTCCTAACAAATGGGGCGATGTCATTCTTTCTGATGGAGGCATAGAATTCCATTTTATACACACACACACATACCACATTTTCTTGATCCATTCACCTACTGAGGGGCATTTGGGTTGGTTCCATATCTTAGCTATGGTGAATAATGCTGTAGTAAACATAGTTGTGCTGGTAGCTTTAGTATGGCCTTGTTTGTGATCATTTGGGTAAATATCTTAGCTATGGTGAATAATGCTGCAGTAAACATAGTTGTGCTGGTAGCTTTAGTATGGCCTTGTTTATGATCATTTGGGTAAATGCCTAAAAGTGGCTGGATCATAGGGGAGCTCTCTGTGTAGTCTTTTGAGGAACCTCCATACTGCTTTCCAAAGTGGTTCAACAAGTTTACATTCCCACCAACAATGCAGTAGGGTTCCCTTCTGTCATATCCCCTCCAGCATATGTAGTTATTAGATTGCTTGATTGTAGCCATTCTAACTGGGGTGAGGTGGAATCTCAATATTGTTTTGATTTGCATTTCCTTTGTGGCCAAAGAAGTTGAGCATTTCTTCATGTGTCTATTGGCCATTCTTATTTCCTCTTCAGAGAAGTTTCTCTTAAAATCTTTAGCCCACTTATTAATCAGGCAGTTGAGGATTTGTTGTTGGGGGATTTAATTTTTTGAGTTCTAAGTATATTTTAGATGCGAGACCCTTATCTGTTGTATGGCTAGTGAAGATCTCCCAATCTGTGAGCTTTCTATCGATCTTGCTATGTCCTTTGCCATGCCGAAGCTCTGCAATCCCGTTTGTCCAACCTTTCTTTGATTTGTTGTGTTTCTGGGTCTCTATTAAGAGAATTTCAGCCTGTGCCAAGGAGCCCTAGAGCTTCTCCTATTCCTTCCTGTAATGTTTTCAGGGTGTCTGCTTTGACTTCGAGGCCTTTGATCCATTTGGAGTTGATTTTGGTGCAGGGTGATATATAAGGATCTTGCTTTAGTTTTCTGCAGGTGTTTAACCAGTTTTTCCAGCACCCAAAATTTTCATTTCTAGCTGACAATGAGAGAAGAGAATTTGTTTCCTGTTGTTTTGTCATAGGTAAGCTTGTTAATTTTAAGCAAATGTAAGTGACTATTACATCTAATCAGTTTGTTTTTTCCTTGAATTTTTTTTTTTTTTGGGTCCAGTCATGGGGCCTGAACTCTGGGCCTGGGCGCTGTCCCTCAGCTCTTCAGCTCAAGGTGAGCGCTCTACCCCTTGAGCCACAGTGCCACTTCCGGTTTTTTTCTTTTTGCTTACGTGGTGCTGAGGAATCGAACCCAGGGCCTCATGCATGCAAGGCAAGCGCTCTACCACTGAGCCACCTTCCCAGCCCCTTCCTTGAATTTTTATAAACATGAAATTACTGACAGAAGTCAGATAACTCTGAGAAACCATAACCTGGCATTTTTGAAGCAGTAGGAAAAAGTTACTTGTGCATTAGGCTTCTTAAAGCATTTCTTAAACAATCAAACTTTTTTCTATCATCATTTGGTAACAAAGAGGTGGCAGGCTTTGTAGGGAAAGCTACAAGTCCAACATGAAGGTATATTGTTTTTTGTTTTATTGTCTGTTTTCTCTAATTTTTTAAAAATTCATATATTAGGCCGGGCGCTGGTGGCTCACGCCTGTAATCCTAGCTACTCAGGAGGCTGAGATCTGAGGATCACGGTTCAAAGCCAGCCCGGGCAGGAGAGACCATGAGACTCCTATCTCCAATAAACCACCAGAAAACTGGAAGTGGCGCTGTAGCTCAAGTGGTAGAGCGCTCGCCTTGAGCTGAAGAGCTGAGGGACAGTGCCCAGGCCCAGAGTTCAAGCCCCACGACCGACAAAAAAAAAAATTCATATATTAATATTTAAAATGCAATGATAGTTTGGAGTAGTCCATGATAATATTACTTTCAATCTATTCTTAGATGTATAAATTTTGTTTTCTTTGAGACAACTGTCACATTCTAGAAAATTCTTGTAACTTTAGAGATTTACTAACTTGCCTCAGGAAGGAAATACACTGGCTTGCAAATTATATTTTGTAAAACTGGAGTTCCTAAGATGGGCCTTTAATTATACACTATTTACTAAATACTTACAGTCCATTGAATTTTATGAAATAATATAGTCAGTAAACACCCAGCCCTGTTTCAATGAGCCTAAGTAGGGTCTGGCTGGCAAAGCATTTATATGCTAACCTCTAAATCATGATCTAAGATAATATCTCAACAAATGCTCAAATGGAAAACTAAATGGTAAACTTTGATTATGAGTCACAGAAATCCTGAAGATTTTGCTAGTAACCACTGACATCTCATGTAGTAATGGTAGCAGCAGTCACAGTTCCAAAGGAGAGGTTGGCTCTGAAAAGAATGGGGACAAATTTTCTGGAAGGAAATGGGCTTCCAGCTTGTCTTTGACCTTCTGTTCTCAGAATATTGTGAAAAGACAAGTCTGTTTGGTAGGAGGCATTAATTATGAGGTTAGTGGAGAATGAATGGTGAGAGGCCCCAAGAATTTATAGAGGCCTAGAATACAAGAACTATCTGAGGTGAATAATAGAAGCCTATAATACAGGAGGGAGCCATCTGAGCTTGGTTGGTTGTTTTCTGTTTCATCCTAGCCATAGAGTTTTACAAATGTCTTAAGAGAGTTTGATTGGAGAGTTGTCTATAGAATGGAATGAAATGAGGGTAGAGATAAATGGCTAGAAGACCACAGAAAGAGTTTTGCATAAACTTGCCTTGGTGGCAAAGTCCTTGGAAATACAGTTACCAGGGTTTCTGTTTAAATATGCATATGTCAGCAAATGTAAAAGTCAAACTTTTCCTGAGCCTCTTAACTCTGTTGTATTTCATAATTAAAATGTACATTTAAAAGCCTAACAAGTGGTGAAAGTATTACATACAAGGACAGTTTAGATAAGTTAATGTTGCTATGGGAACCCCAGCAGATCTTCTTGTGTCTCCATTTAAAATCCATGGCCCAAGGTGGTTTTAAAAACAACAGAAGGTAAAATTATTCTCACATTCTCACACATGTAAATTGTACTGTCTCTCTCAGTTCTAAATAGCAGATTTAAGCCAGCCTCTTGACTGGCACAGTAAAATTCAGCTTTATGTTTTTCTATAATGTATTGCAGCATGTGAGTTAACCTTTAGAAGTTTCAAAAATACACCAACCAAATTTGGACTGTGAGATGCAAACTGAGCTGTCTTAGGCTCTGTCCAGTGTAGCTTTCCCATTCCATATGGCTACACAGCAAGCCCTCTCCCCTGGTCTTTTGTTTGTCCAGTTAGACTTTTACCTATGCAGTATACTAACTACATTGGGCTCAAGGGCTCATGGCTGGAGAAAACAGTAGATTTTGGTAGAAAAAAAAGACAGGAAAAGGCCTATTTGGAATTTTGCCTATAAACAACTAAGAAATCATGAAGTGTTGCAAAATGCATCTACTTGAGTATTAGCTTAAAATATTTGATAACCACATGAAATTCTAATTTTACCCTTATCCATAAAGCTAGGACCAGTTGGTTAGGCATTCTGATCTTCAAATATCCATCTTCTGAGGGAGCTGAATTTCAACAGGACCATTTTCTTTCTAACAGAAAAAAAAAAACATTCCTTCATCTTTTTACACTACAGAAACAATGAAATATATTTAAAATGCACCCACCATTTTTCTCCCTTTCTAAAAATTCACTTTGAGCATTGTCCAAGTGTAAAAATTCTTACATGAAGAATTGCTTAAGAAGGTTGTAGGAAAGTCAAGATAACAGTTTCTATTATTATAAGTTTTGGATTCAGCATGTCACATTTGTCTGCCTTGAAACACCCAGCTAACATCGACTTCTGAGAACTTATTTGCCTTGCTTGTTTCAGTTCCATATGCCTTGTCACCAAATTGTGAACACATCCTGGTTTCTACCATTATATAACTAAATCATTGCTGTATTTTAGTTTGTACATGAAAATAGCTGCCCATATGCAAATAGCTGCCCTTCTGGGTGCAAAACCTAAAGCCATCTGGATTATTAAAGTTCAAGTAAGTTACATTGTTGCTTTAAAACTTCTATACTGTATTCCTATGGCTTTCTAGCTCATCTAAGTTTGGAAGCCTGAGCATATCATGCAGAGCTACTTCTAATTGTTGATTCTGATCTTCACAAGTGC